GTAAATATTGATTCCCAACAGCAGTCATGTATAGCAATGGATTACAAAATCCGACAATTGCTCCAGGCCTAAGACAAATAAAGAATTAATGATATCATAGTTAATATTTAAATATGTGTAATCTGAACTTTTTTTTATTAATAAAGATTATTATTACTTTTAGAAAATCGTTCTTAATTTTATTTACTTACTTTACAATATTAGAACGGCCAACTTTATAGCCACTTATCATATTCGACAAAAAGCGACCACCTGAATTCAAAATAATAAAAGTATATTTAAAATGTATTGATATTAGATATTATTTTTAAAATGGGTTTGTACATATAATATATTATTTGTGATTATTTCATTGTGTATGTGTAATTCTTCTAAAACTCAATTAATATAAATGTTATTTTGGCTTTTTAAAATTTCCAAGTCTGTAGTATTGATATCAAAACTTATATTATGGTTGTTTTCTAGAATATGTTTAGCCATATTTGAATTGAGGGGGGCAGCCTTTTTAACTTTATTTTAAAATAGTGTTTTTTATATCTTATTTTTAAATGTTTATTAGTTTTACCTACATAAATTTTTAATATTATTATTATTTATATAATCTTAAGTTTATTTATGAATTTTATTAGTATAAACAAAAGCAATTGCATTGGATTTTACCAAAACACGTTTTCAAAAAAAAAAAATATTATATTGTTTTAATAATTTATTAGGTCTATTTTTATAGTTTTTATTGGAGCGTTCATTATGTTATATCTTATGTGGTTTTGATTTTAAATTGCATTTAATCTTATATAGATTCCTATTTTATTATTTTTTAAAGATTGAACTTTCGACAAAATTTTACTAAATATTTTTGTTAAATGACAAATTACCTATAATTATTAACAACGTAGTGAATAAATTTAAAAAAAATATTCAGAAATATTTCCATTAGATAAAGCCTATGCTTTTTTTATAATTTACACTTAAAAATTCATAAGAACAAACTTAAGATTTTATAAATAATATTAATATTCAAAATTACATGCAATTAAAAAAACCTATAAACATGGGGTATGAACGGTTATAATATATCGCATACCTTTTGATGATATTGAATACCCATCAATTTGTCCTCAGGAACTTGTGCTGTTATTGTAACAAAAAATGGTTTAAATCGATCCCTTTGTGCAAATTTATCAGCCGCTAAAACATTTAGCGAAAACCATTTGAATGTTCTAGAAAATAAGAACATAATCGAAAACGCCCAGTTGTACCTAGTCACCGCAAGTTTTCGAAGTATAATTGACAATATTGGATATATAGAAATCGTATTCTTTGTTTAAAATTAATATTTTCGTTAAGCATTATGCTTTATAAAAAAATAATAAATTAAAAAGGTTTATACAAACTGGCCGTTTCACATAGAAAAATGAATTGGAATAGGTGAGGTTATATAAAATTAGTTTTTATTGGACATATATACGTTGAGAAGTATAAACTCTTTGGTTATTATTTATTATCTAAAAACTATGGATATAAGGTCTTATTTTTGAAAACGGTTTGTAAAAATAATTGTGTGCGTGTGTGTCTATAATCTTTATATATGTATCTATGTGTAATAGTCACAGGTATATTGATAACAATATGAATAACTTGGTTACGAGTTGATGGTAAATTAAATAAAAAAGAAAAAAAAACAACAATCTGCCTCTTATTCTGTAGAGTGAGAA